AAGCAGATCATCTGTTTATCTCTTCTTGGTTGAGTTACACTGTGGTCAAATATCAAATCCTCATATAAACACTGTCTTTTTCTGCAGTCTCTTTATTCTGTTGACTTACTTCTTTATACTTATGGTATAACTAGATGGTTTTAATTTCAACAACTTTGAGTATTTGGATGCCTGGTGAGCATTCACTATCACCATGATTTTCATTTTACGTTGACAATGGATGTTTTCATCCCATCGGAGCCTTTAAGAGTTCATAAAATTTGCCGGGTGCTGGTGGCTCATGCCTGTGATCCTAGCTACTCAGGAGGCTGAGATTTGAGGATCACAGTTCAAAGTCAGCTTGGGCAAGGAAGTCTGAGAGACTCTTACCTCCAATTAACCACTGGAAAACTGGAAGTGGCTCAAGTGGTAGAGTGCTCAGTTTGAACTGAAGAGCTCAGGGACAGCACCCAGGCTCAGAGTTCAAGCTCCACAATTGACAAAAAAATAAAAATAAAAAGAGTTCATAAAATTTACAACATATTATGGCTATAATATAACTATAATATATATGGCTAATACTATTATTATATCGAAGAATGCTGAATCACAGGTTTCCACCAGAAACAGAACTGTATCTATGCACGTATATCAACAGATGAACACATTCTTACTTTCTATGTTCTAAAATTAAGGAGATTATTTATGTATTTACTTATTTATTTGATTTGATGGTGCTGGAGTTGAACTTAGGTCCTTTTGCTCACTAGGCAAGCCATCTTACCACTTGAACCATATGTCCTGTTTTAGTTAATTTTTCATACGAATGTCTTGCTTTTTTGCCCATTGCTGGACAACCTTCAAGGACAATGATCCTCCTACTTATGCTTCCTGTGGTAGCTTGGATGACTGCAATATGCCACAATGCCCAGCTGGTTTTTGTTTTTGTTTTTGAAACGAGGTCTTGTGAACTTTATATCTACATTGGCTTTAAACTGCAATCTTCCCAATCTCAGCCTCCCAAGTACCTAGGATTACAGGCATGAGTCACCACACATGGCTAGGCAGATTCATTTTTATATTAATTTATCATCTATGAAGAATACACTATTCTAATTTTCAGATCTCATTTTATTTCCTTCAATACAATTTATAGTTTTCATAGGTTCTATGCCTTTCTTAGTTTACATTGTCATTTTAAAGGAAATTTTTTTTCTCTTTCCTTTTAAAGTGTACGTTACCAGATCAGAGAAACCCTATTAATTTTAGTTGGTTTACTTTGTATCTTTTATCTTTCTAGTCCAATGAGTATTTTTATCAATGATAAAAATTTTTCTTTTTAACTTTTTGGGTTTTGAATATACCATTATATCAGCAAAAAGGAGTTTTATCTTTTCATTTCCTTTTTACCAACTATTTAATTTCATTTTCTCATTGTTTTCACAGACAATGCAAAGAATATAATAGAATTTATAATAATAGTGTTGGATTATTAGTGTAGAATAAATATGGTAAAAATCATTTCCCAACTCCTGGAAGGCACTGATTTTGCCTTATCTTTTTACAAATCTGTCTTTTTCCATAATGTCATGTTTGAAATCTTTTTTTTTTCTTTTAGTCAGTTGTGGGGTATGAACTCTGGGCATTGTCCTTCAGCAATTCAGCTCAAGGCTAGTACTCTACCACTTGAGCCATGCACCACTTCTGGCTTTTTTTGTTTATATGGTGCTGAGGGAATCGAACCCCGGGGCCTCATGCATGCTAGGCAAGCACTCTACCACTGAGCCACCTTCCCAGCCCTGAAATCTTATGTACACAATCTTTTTGATCTGAATTTTTTCATTCTGGCTAATTCATTCACTATTCATCCAGGCTGTTTCATGAACCACCTGAGGAGCAACCCATCATGAAAATGTATCCATAGTGTTTCTCCATTGACTTGTTGAATGACTTTCCAGTTCTTTCTAGTTTGGGGGGATAATGAAAAAAGCTACTTGAGACCATTGGTGCTCAGGCATTTGTGTCCACCTCGAATTGATTTTTATGCATAGTGAAATAAACATTATGATTCATTTGTGTGCCATATGGACATCTGATTGTTCCAATGCTATTTGTTGAAAAGACATTTTCTTTCCTCCATTGCATTGCTTTTGAGCCTTTGTGAAAACCACTTGTCTACATAAGTCTACATCTGGGCTTCTCATTTTGCTCCATGGATCTGTTCTTCCATCTTTCCATTAATATCACATTATCTTCATGACAATAGCTTTGTAGAAATTATTGAAATTCTAATGTTAGTTTCTCTTTATTACTATTTGTCTTCAATATTTTATCTTTTTAAATGAATTTTCTAATCATCACGTCTATTTCTTTAAAAGGCCTACTGAGATTTTAAACTGGATTCACTTAAATCTGTAGCTGGATTTTAGTGAGAGTGTTCTTTTTAACAGGACTGAATATTCTGATTCTTAAATATACTACAGCTGCCATTTACTCAAGTCTTCTTTAATGCTCTTTAACTATGGTCTGTAGGATTCAATATACAGATTTTGCAAACACTTTATAAAAGTTGTCCCCTAATATTTTATGGATTTTAATGATATTATATGTGCTATTGTTTCCTTAATTTCATTTTCTCTTTGTTTGTTGCTAATATACAAGAACTCAACTGATTTCTGAGTATTGATGTTTTATCTTGGTATCTTATAGTCTTGATAAATACACTTACCTGATCTAAGATTTGCTCTTACAATTTTCTAAGATGCCATCAGTAATATAAAGAGTTGGCTTGCTACTTCCTCCCTTCCCCCATTCTTGTTGTTGTTGTTGTTGTTGGTTGTGGGGCTTGAACTCTGGACTTGGGCACTGTCCCTCAGTTCTTCAGCTCAAGGCTAGTGCGCTACCACTTGAGCCACAGCACCACTTCCAGTTTTCTGGTGGTTAATTGGAGATGAGAGTCTCACAGATTTTCCTATCCTGAACCATGATCCTCAGCTCTCAGCCTCCTGAATAGCTAGGATTATAGGTGTGAGCCACAGATGCCCGGCTTCCTCCCCCTACTCCAAACATTCTTAATTCCTCTTATTTTTCTGGCCTTGTTGCCCTTGTGAGGACTCCAGTTGAGTATTCAATTGGTGACAACAGATGTCCCAATCTTAAAAGGGCAGAGCAAGTCTTGATAGATAGCTCAGTAGTAGAGCATTTATCTTGGGTTTAATTTTCAGCTCTATAGTGGGATGCAAAGGCAGAGGCAGATGGTTGCGGGAATAGGGTGGAAGAAGAATATGAAAAAAGAAAAAGAAAAAGAAGGGCAAAGCCTTCAAAGATCACTTATGTATGTTGTTAGCCTATAAGGCTCTGTTGTTTCTTTACTTTCTTTTTTTTTTCTTTCTCCTTTCTTCTTTCAAGTAGTGAACTTTTATCAGGTCCATAAAGTTACAGAGAGATTTTCTTTTTAATCATGACTGAGTGTAGAATTTTGTTGAATTTCTTTTTCCACATCTGCTGCAATGTTCATATGGTTTTATTTTACCCTTTATTATATTAATATGGTGAATTATGCTGATAGATTTTCAAACGTTAAGCCAATTTCATGTTCTTGAGATAGATGCAATTGGTTGTGACGGGTTGATCTTTTCACATAGTTCTCCACTCAAATTATTAATATTTTCTTAAGGATTTTTAGCTCCACGTTCATGTGGTATTTAATCCCTCCTTCTCTGACCCTTTCCCTCCCTTTCTTCCTTCCTTTTTTATTATTTTTCTCCTCCAAGTATTTCTGTACCCCTTCAATAACATAAGACAGGCTCTTTTGTGAAAGTTTAATCTGATAGTGAAAACTTAACCATTTAAAAAAAATTCCTATAGTGGAATTTCTCTTAGTGCAGCCCACACAAAGATGTATACTAACAAATGGGATCCCTAAGAAAGTTATGATGAAGGCACAGTTTCATCTAACCCTTTCTTCTAACTACTACATTCCACCTTCCCTTTTATTTTATTTCTTTTCTTTAAAAAATTATTACCTTAAAATACTTATACACAGGGGTTGTCATTCAACAAAGCAGTGTATAAACATAATGTGTCTTGATCAATGTCATCCCTTTTTTCCCCTTCCTTCCTTCCTTCCTTCTTTCCTTCCTTCCTTCCTTCCTTCCTTCCTTCCTTCCTTCCTTCCTTCCTTCCTTTCCTCCCTCCCTCCTTCCCTTTTCTCTCTTTCTTTCTTTCATTTCTTCTTTCTTTCCTTCCTTCTTTCCTTTCTTCCTTCCTTTCTTCCCTCCTTCCTTCCTTTCTCACTTTCTTTCTCTCCTTTCCTTCCTTCCTTCCTTCCTTTCCTCCCTCCCTCCTTCCCTTTTTCCTTCCTTCCTTCCTTCCTTCCTTCCTTCCTTCCTTCCTTCCTTCCTTCCTTCCTTCCTTCCTTCCTTCCTTCCTTCCTTCTTTCCTTCCTTCCTCTCTCTTTCTCTCCCTTCCTTCCTTCCTTCTTCCCTTCCTTCCTTTCACATTCCCTGGGATGTGAACTCTAGGCCTGGGCACTATCCTTGCACTTCTTTTGCTTAAGGTGAGCACTTTACCACTTGAGCCACAAAGCCACTTTGGCTTTTTTGAGTTTTATTGGAGATAAGAGTCTCACCAAGTTTCCTGCCCTGGCTGGCTATGAGCTGTGATTCTCAGACTTCAGCCTCCTGAGTAGCTAGGATTACAGGCGTGAGCCACCAGTGCCTGGGCAATGTTCCCTTTTACCGTGCTCATTCACCCCTCCCAACACACCCTTCCCATTACTTTTCTTAATTTTGTAGGCTTTATTTTCGTGTTTATTTTGCTGAACTTTGATTTTGCCTTCCTAAGGCATTTCATTATTTTGAATTCTCCCCTGAATCTACTGTATTTCAGTTAATATATTTGTAGACACTTGCATAACAACTGATGCCTTATTTGTGTGTTTATACACTAATTCTGGCTTCCACAGATGAGAGAAAACATGCAACTTTTGTCTCTCTGGGCCTGGCATACTTCACTTAACAGAAACTATGGAGAGCTTCATGACTTTGTGTCATCCGTGTGCCGGGGTCATGCTAATCTTCTCTGTATCGTTCCAATTTTAGTGTATGTGCTGCGAAAGTGAGCACCTTTCCTTTCCTTTGTAGTGGCATTGTCAAATGTTGAGATAAAGGTTATGATGACCACAGAAAAGGTTAAAAATCAATTTTTCATTATTTTCTGAAAGACATTGTGTACGTCATTTTTTTTAGTTAAGTGCCTAGTTGACTTCACCAGTGAAATTTCTCAAGCTTACAATTGTGTGTGTGTGTATGTGTATGTGTGTGTTTTAAAATAAGAATTCCAGTACTTCACAGTTAATATGAATATACAAATAAATTCATCATTAATATAAATTTTAATTAATTAGTATTACCAATAATAAGATAGCTTATTTTTCTTGTCAGTTTTGGTAGTGGGTCTTATCGAAGGTCTCATCAACTCTATTCCATTGCTTTGTAAAAATATATCCTTATTATTAATTTTTTAATATTTGTGACACACATAATGATTCCTATCATTACTGCTATGGGCCATTGCCTGTCTTCTCTTTTTCTTGATAGGTACTCAGGGTAGTAATAGATAGTTTTGTTTATTTTCTTTAAAAAATTTTCTTCTAAGATGTCAGGAAGAAGCTTCTAGCTCTCTAATTTCCTTCCATTCTCCATCTAAGTAGTGGGTAAAGAAGTCAGTCAATTTATTTCTGTTTGTCAGTCCATTGATTTCTGCTTAAGTCAGTCCATTGATTTCTGTTTTCTTTGACTTCTTATAGATCCCAGCCTCTGCAAGTCATCAGGAACATTACACACCAGTAGACGCTATTCAGAGGTGTAGGGGTCTTTGACGGCAAGCTTTCTCTAGGATCTTCCTCCTTCAATTCCTTTTACAAGGGCTTTTCAGCATCCTTTGGGATTTGGTTTGGTTCCAAATATTAGAGACACACATTCTTCTGTGCATATTCTTCAGGCATTAAGACTTGAGTGTCCTTATACACTGACATGTGGAGCAGTAATTGCTTTACAACTATCTGAAGATAGTAAAAATATAATTAAAAAAAGAAAAGAGTTGAGTGTGAATGGAACTGTGACGGGATAGAAGGAAAAATCTGTGTCTGAAGTTTACTCATTCAACTAAAACTTGGAAACATCCTCAGGACACTTCTGTCTAAAGATTCACGCAAATTTGTAATATCATAGGTAAGCTCTGGAATCATTTCTTACTCTTGTTCTGCATGTATTTCACTTTATCCCCATGAATTTGCAAAGGGCTACACAAACACAATTAACTGATTGCATGCCTGAAGAACATTCTTCCTTTGTCCTCAGTAAATTTTAAAGAAATTGTCCTGTGAACAATGACCAATCAGGAGGTAGAACTATTCAAAGTTCTCTGTGGCTGTGTCCCTTCTTTAAACATCATGGAAACCACTGGAAAACACTTTATTTCCAACACTTCTGCTTTCCAAATGCCACATTGCCCCTCCCTTTTCTCTTCCCTCTTTCTCTCCTCTTGTAGGTCGTTTACATGAAAATGGTATCTTAAGATGGTTTTATCAGTATGTTGTGATTATTTTCACCTGCAGCAGAGAATTTGCTCACAGCTTTTGTTGTTGCCATGGAAATGATTATGCTATCAAAAGAAGGGAATTAAGATTTCAGTCAAGGCAGAAATTAGGTTGGGCAGATGATGCTGAAGGAACAAAAAGATGCCCACTATTTGCACTTGAAGGAAAATAAGATACAAATAAATAGTCACTTTAAGATAATCTATGAACCAATACAAAATAAAACCAAAGGAAACAAAAGCATCCAAAACCAGAAATGTACTCTTGATCCTCTGTACATCATATATATACATAATATGATATATATAAGATATATATACATAGTATATACATTATATGACATGTATATAATCATATATATATACATATATAATCAGCAAAGAATATGAAAGCTGTTTGGGAGCTATTGACTTAGCTTTGCTCATGCATTATAGCCAAAGTGCTTCTTAATTGTTCTCAATTTCATGGGACTTAAAAAAATTAAAAAGTTACTCTAACCTTGCTATCACTATCTTCCTGTATTAACAAGCTAACTAATAGCTGAGATTACAAGTCTTCCAGAAGAGAAGAACAGTTCTGTCTTTTTTAAAAACAAAATTACTTCTCAAAGATGAGCTTGCCTGGTCAGCCATAGTGATTTTTATTTTTTTCCGGATCTTCCCTTGGGACATTCTTTTTTCATGACTTCAAGTAAACTCTTAGCCATAGTTGGTGTGTTTTCCTTATCTCCCAAAAAAGAAACAAATTTCAAATAATACAGTATTGGAAACTGAGAAGTAATGTGAAGGTAAGCTATTTTGTTGATTGGGGACATTTAGAATATAAAGATATTTTTTGAAATACTTACTGAAATTCCCCTGCTTTTACTGTATTTGATGTCGGTATAATTTGTGGAGGGGAAGGGGAAAACAAATCGTTTAAATAGGGATACAGGTGGACCCATTGCAACAATGAGATGTACAAGTCGTTATGTCGAAAACGAACTTTACAACTTTGGTGGGGGGGAGGGGGAGTGGGGAGGATCGGCTTGGGGGCAGGGGGAGTGGGGAGGATTGGCTGGGGGGCAGGGGGAGGATGGGAAGGGGAAACAAAGGAGGAGGCTACAATGCTTGATAAGAAATGTACTCATTATCTTGCCCATGTAATTGTAACCCCTCTGTACAGTATTTTCACAATAAAAAGTAAATTAAAAAATAAATTAAAAAATAAATACTTACTGAAAGCAAACATAATGCTATTTAATGGAGTTTCAAGTATTTTTTTCTCTTACATCCTCTTTCAATTTGTTTTCTTATAAATTGTGTATTGTTCAGTACCTGTATCTTTGCCATCGCATACACTTTACTTTCTGCTGTGTTTTTAATCTATACTCTAGAGGACTCATCTACTGCGTACATCCTGATAACTGGGTGCTGTGGACAGGGCAGGAGTAAATGGAAGCATTCTCTATCATCCTTCCTTGTCTCCCGGGAAAGCTGACTCTACAGTGAATCGCAATCAACTCAGGACTGAACAATCTGCCCATAGCTCTTTGTAGAACAGTGGAATGCCATTCTTTGGGCATTTTGGAAATGGGAAAGGACAAACATGGCAAAATAGATGGCACCCCAGGCTGAAGTTGTGCTGTGGACAGAAGCTAATTTAGCCCACAGTCCTGGCTGAATCTGAGCTATGACTTATCTGTTAAGAAAATAATTTCCCTACCTTAGAGGCTTGTAGGTAATTAGTACTATATAATACTTATAATTTCTTTCTTTCTTTCTTCCTTCCTTCCTTCTTTCCTTCCTTCCTTCCTTCCTTCCTTCCTTCCTTCCTTCCTTCTTTCTTTCTTTCTTTCTTTCTTTCTTTCTTTCTTTCTTTCTTTCTTTCTTTCTTTCTTTCTTTCTTTCTTTCTTTCTTTCTTTCTTTCTTTCCTTCCTTTCTTTCTTTCTTCCTTCCTTTCTTTCTTTCTTTCTTCCTTCCTTTCTTCCCCTTCCCCCTCCCTCCCACCGTCTCCCTCTCTCCCTTTCTCTTCTTTTTTTCTTTCTTCTTTTTTCTTTCTTTTCTTCTTCCTTTCTCCCTCCCACCCTTTTTCTCTCCTCCTCCCTCCCATCCTTCCTTCCTTTCTTCCTTCCTTCCTTCTTTCTTCCTTCTTTCCTCCCTACCTTCCTTTTCTCTCTCCCTCCCTTTCTTTCTCTCCCTCCCTCCCTCCTTCCCTTCCTCCTCCCTCTCTCTCTCTTTCTTTTTCTCTTTCTTTCTCTCTCTTTCTTTCTTTTCATTTCTTTTATTTCTTTGACAGAGTCATACTAACCAAGGACGGTTAGTATGATCCTCCTGATCTCTGAATCCTGAGTGGCAAAGATTACAAGCATGAACCACAGTGCCAAGCTTACATTTTTAAAAAGTCCTATTATTATTTCCAGTTTATACATAAGAAAATGATTAAATAAATAGATAAGTGGTGGAATTAAAGGCCTGTCCAATGCCATCCCCCTAATTCAGTCACAGAATGGAACTAGAACATAGGCTGGTTTGACTTTTAAAGATGTTATTCATTATGATTACAACAGAGTTGGCTCTGCTTCTGAGTAACTGAGTGACAGTTACTTAGGCTGTCAATACAACTTACTGAGGCTTCCCTACTCTCTTAAGAGAGTCTCAGTTTATACAACTATATGACTAATGAGAGAGGAGGGTTCTGAGGCCTAATCTAAATGAGGAGTTTACTTATTTAATGTCACTTAATGGAGATATCTGCTGGTGACGTGGGGAGGTTTTTGACACTAGACGTGAAGATACCTCTGTGATAGCACATAATATCTCTGGCATGAGAGGTCTTGAATAAACCAGTTTTCTTGTCTTTAGTTGGGTTTAGCCAACCAACAACTTACATTGCCAATCAGTATTATACCCAGTGATAATATCCAGCAGACCTGTCAATGTCTAACAGTCTCCACAGGTTCTGTGTTGTGTGGCCATGAGGGACAATGTTGTGTGTAGGCTAGTATACATATAGTTGCTCCCAGAATCTGAGCCAGTCGTGCAACAAAGAACGGTGGGAAGAAATTCAGCTCAAGGCCTAACTTTCTCTGAGCCATTTACATTCTCAAGTTTCATTCTTCTCCTCCCCATACACCATCTCTGGTGAGGAAATGTCCAGCATCAGTCTTCAGTGTTTCATGACTCCAATACTTAATGAAAACATCAGTCCTCATTTATCTTTCCTTTGTGTAATGCTTGTGGTTTAAGTGGATTTGCTACTTCTTAATGATCTACATTGACTAAGCTTTAGTTTCTTTGTCTGCAAACTGAGGACAATAGAAGTTGTTTTGAGAAGTTGTAAGTTACAAGAATATACATAAAGTGCCTAGCTCAAAGAACATGAGTGATAGTTAGCTGGTAACAATGTTCAAGTTTTTTTTTTCTTTCTTGTAATTCTGGTCCAAGGTTATAGGAAAGGACAACTTTGAATTTTTTTCTTAAAATGGTATGGGAATATTCTGTGTCTCTATCAGAATTAACCTTGATGATCAAGAAAGTTATCTG